TGATGAAAAATGTAGATCATGATACCAGATATTTTCTTGTATGTATACCTCAAGGGAAATACTATTGAACATAAATTAAATAAGAAGACAGATTTCAGAGTAGGTATCAAATCTGGAGGCTGTTTTATTGTTAAGTCTTATGCATTTACAGGTTGTATTAATATATGTGCTCATATTAACTAGGCTAATAGGCCACAAAGAAACCATACATATCTTTAGATAGGCCTAGAGAAGAAGTGTTGTCCTTTGTGCTTAACACAGCTTAAGTATATAGTCTTTCAGAGCATAATAATTGCTAAGGAGTAGTCTTAGCTTAGCAGCAAACAGAAAAGATTAAAATGAAAAAGCCCTGTTTAAATAGTGTAGCAACACATTTTTCAAGAATACTCCTAAATTTGGTAGAGTGATTTTTCTGCACAGAGGACCTTAAGTTTTGGAAAAAGCTCATTGTAGACTCTGGCATTATGAGATATACGTGTAAACATTTCTGCCCTTAATGATCCTTAGAGTCTTCATGGATCTCCTTCAGATCTTATGAAGGAAGTAAGTAAATGTTGGTGAATACCTATGTGTTCTGAACTGGCAGGCTCTAGAGATAATCTCTGTGTGTAGTTTAATGTTAACTCAAACTTGGCATTCTACCTTTTTTTTTTTTTCTTAAACTGTTTTTATGACCCTGGTACATTACTTGCTGAAGAAACAAATCTTTAGGCTGTTCCTTATATTTATATGGGTTTTATGAATAGTCTTAAAATGATAGGGAGCCATTGTTAGGTTTCTTTTGGGTACCTTGTAACTGACTAAAGTTACTTTGATTATTTTTTCTTTGGTAGGCCTTGAGTGAATATTTTTTAATAAGTAAAAGAAAATAAATATTTTCTTATCTACTTATGAATTTTCCTCTTTAGTCTTAAGATTTTATACTCTAAATAGGGAGAGATTTTGCTATGTATTTTCTCACCTTGACAGTTTTTATTCTATCTTTACAATATGTAGCATCACTTATTCCATCTTTTTTTTTTCCTCAAGTTTCTTTCTTTATTTTTTTAGTAATCTCTACACCTAGTGTGGGGCTCAAACTCATGATCCTGAGATCAAGAGTCACGTGCTTTTCCCACTGAGCCAGCCAGGTGCCCCTCATCTTTATTTTATGCATAATCCTACAGAGTCATCACTTCTTATGTTTTGCACTATCCTTATGCCAAATTTTGCATCTTTATATTTTTTAATATTTCTCTTATCTACTTTCTCTTTCATCCTATGGCTATAGCTTTTGCCTCGATTATCGTATTGTATTTCTTGTACCTTGACCAAATGTTTGAGAACTTTTTCTTATTCCTTTATAAATGGTCTCCATATTTATGAAGGACATATATACACAATATTGGGATATTTATAGTATAGCGAAGGAAATAATAGAACTTTAGCTCAAGAGAATTTTTTAAAAATGTCTGATCTAGTGTAGCTTTTTCCTTTATGAGGAAGAATAATGATGCTCAGAAAAATAAGGACAGTTTTCCAGCGTCACCATGTATACATGGTTTTCTACTTTACACTTTGGGAGTGTACTTGAAAACTTGGAACCGTGACAAAAATGTTTCAGAAGCTGGTTGACAGATTGAAAATTTGGGTGGTATAAATAATTAATGATTCAAATGTTTGACAATTCTAGAAAAATCTGAGAGGTGGCTGCAAATTACTGTGAAAGTTAGTACAAGTGTGCTTGACAATAATGACAGCGAGGGGGAAGACCCTGGAAAGGGATGGCAACAATGGAGGCAAGTTAACCTGAGGCCAGAGGATAAATCGTCATCATGTGTTTATTTGTGTAGTTGCCAGGATTCCTTGTAGTTGTAATCAATTTTAGAGACTAGAAACCTCTTAGAAAGAAAGTGCCAGAATCCCATTCATGGACCCAATAGTATGCTAAGCATGAAAAATAGGAGTTGGGGAAATGATTTTAATGTCATGATGAGGAAGAAGAAATAAACCTGTTTTTTTTGTATACTACTGTGTGCCATGAACTTTCACAGAAATTATTTCAAAGATAAGATGCAATCAACTCAGACATTCAAAATTCTTTTTATTTTTTATTTTTTATTTATTTATTTATTTATTTATTTTTTTACAAATAGTTTATTGTCAAATTAGTTTCTACATAACACTCAGTGTTCATCCCCAAAGTGCCCTCCTCCATGCCCATCCCCCCCTCCCCCCCACATCCATCAGTCCTCAGTTTTTGTCAGCATTCAAGAGTCTCTCATGGTTTACCTCTCTCCCTTTCCCCCACCATTTCCGCCCTTCTTCTCCCGCTTGTTCCTCCGTCAAGTTCCTCCTAATCCTCCTATACGTGCAAACATATGATATTTGTCCTTCTCTGCCTGACTTATTTCGCTCAGCATAACACCCTCAAGGTCCATCCATGTTGCTACACATGGCCAGATTTCATTGTTTCTCATTGCCATGTAGTATTCCATGGTATAGATAAACCACATCTTCTTGATCCATTCATCTGTTGATGGACACTTAGGCTCTTTCCATGTTTTAGCTATTGTGGAGAGTGCTGCTATGAACATTGGGGTACATGTGCTCCTATGCCTCAGCATTTCTGTATCCCTTGGGTAAATTCCTAGCAGTGCTATTGCTGGGTCATAAGGGAGTTCTATTGTTAGTTTCCTGAGGAACCTCCACACTGTTTTCCAGAGGGGCTGTACCAGTTTACATTCCCACCCACAGTGTAGGAGGGTGCCCGTTTCTCCACATCCTCGCCAGCATCTAGAGTTCTCTGATTTGCTCATTTTAGCCACTCTGACTGGCGTGAGGTGGTATCTCAGTGTGGTTTTGATTTGTATTTCCCTGATGAGGAGGGATGCTGAGCATCGTTTCATGTGTCTGTTGGCCATCTGGATGTCCTCTTTGGAGAAGTGTCTGTTCATGTCTTCTGCCCATTTCTTCACTGGGTTGTTTGTTTTTCGGGCGTGTAGTTTGGTGAGTTCCTTATAGATTCTGGATATTAACCCTTTATCTGATATGTCATTTGCAACTATCTTTTCCCATTCCGTTGGTTGCCTATTAATTTTCTGGGTTGTTTCCTTGGCTGTGCAGAAGCTTTTAATCTTGATGAGGTCCCAACAGTTTATTTTTGCTCTTGATTCCCTTGCTTTTGGGGATGTGTCAAGTAAGAAGTTGCTGCGGTGGAGGTCAAGGAGGTTGTTTCCTGCTTTCTCCTCTAGGGTGTTGATAGTTTCCTGTCAGACATTCAAAATTCTAATTTTCATTCTTGATTTCAAGTAGAGCAGGGGTCTAGAAGGAAGTAAATTTAGGAGCTCAAAAGAATCCCAGTGGATCTCACTTACACATATTTCTGTGTGATTTATAGGATAAATGTTGTACTCTTCTTTGGAGGACTAAGCACCAGCAGCAGAACTCAGGGCTGACATCTCTGTGCAAAAAGTAACATGAAAATTAGGGTTGTCATTTTAAGATCGGTTTTCTCTCCCCCTCCCCCACTCCTGTTCTGCTCTCTCAAAAATAAATAAACAATTTTGGGGCGCCTGGGTGGCTTAGTCGGTTAAGCGTCCGACTTTCGCTTGGGTCATGATCTCGTGGTTCGTGGGTTTGTGCCCCGCGTCGGGCTCTGTGCTAACTGCCAGCTCAGATCCTGGAGCCTATTTCAGAGTCTGTATCTCCCTCTCTCTCTGACCCTCCCCTGCTCACACTGTCTTTCTCTCTCTCTCTCCTAGAATTAAATAAAAAATATTTTAAAAAAATAAATAAACATTTTTTTAAAAATTAAAAAAAAAATAGGGGCACCTGGGTGGTTCAGTCGGTTAAGCAACTGACTTCTGCTCAGGTCATGATGTCACCGTTTGTGGGCTTGAGCCCCGCATCAGACTCTGCTGCCAGCTCAGAGCTTGGGGCCCAGTTCAGATTCCGAGTCTCCCTCTCTCTGCCCTTCCCCTACTCCTGCTCTGTCTCTCTCTCAAAAATAAACAAACATTATAAAAATTAAGATGGGATGCCTGGGCAGCTCAGTCAGTTAAGCGTCCAACTTCAGCTCAGGTCATGATCTCAAGGTTCGTGGGTTCAAGCCCCGCGTCGGTCTCTGTGCTGACAGCTAGCTCAGAGCCTGGGGCCTGTTTCAGATTCTGTATCTCCCTCTCTCTCTGACCCTCCCCTCCTCACGCTGTCTCTCTCTCAGAAATAAATAAAACATTAAAAAAATAAATAAATAAAATTAAGATAAGTTTTAATGTTGTTGTTTCATTTGGGATTTTTAAATGATTCCCCCTGCTCCCTAAAATGCTCTTGTCAGAAACCCTCACCTCCTTCTGATAGGATTGAATTGGAATACTTTACAGTTAAACATTAAGGATACAGATTTTTTTTGGTCAGTGTTATTTTTTTTCTTTTTAACACTTTTTAAGAATAATTGCAATGCAAACCATTTTTAAAGTTAATACCCTCTTTTTATTCCAGTCTAGTTATTTATATGCTGCTGAGGAAATGCAAGGTATCAGTTCCAAGGAAAAGAGTGAAATTGCATATGTGTAGTTAATGAAATGTTTAAGAGATACATAGTTTGTTTATTTCATTGACAGGATTTAAATAAAAATATGAAAAGATCCAAATCAAAATAAAATGATTGTACCTGTTTTGATAAGAAATGAAACTGTGTTTTAAAATTGAATATTATTCTGTCCTGGATTGCAGTTGGGAGCCCATTTTCTATTTAGGACTTTCCATATTTAAGATACTTCTGATGATTGTGAACATTTTTGATATAAAAATCTTGTTCATATTTTATTACAAAGGTATGCACGATTGCCTTATGAAAGGTTAATTTAAAAGAAAAAGAAGAAAAAGAAGCAAAACTTAGATTATCCCTGAAGAAATCACCACGCTTCTGGAAGAAATCTAGTTTGGGTAAACGTCAGCTATATGCACATATTTTATCTTATTCTCATAGGCATTTCTTTCCATTTTGGTACTTCTTTCAGAGTCAGTGAAGAAAAGGAAGTGACAGAGGAACGACTCCGAGCTGAGCAGGAATCGTTTGAGAAGAAGATCAGGCAGTTGGAGGAACAGAATGAACTGATCATCAAAGAAAGGGAAGATATCCTTTTTGAAAGTCCTCTTTTTTAATGTGCAGAGAGTTTGACTGTTTCATGAAGAAAACATAAAACTCCAGAGAAATAATTATTCTAATTTATAACAGGGAATCAATCTGCATGGGCTGCCATTTTTAGGCAATCAAAATGACACTTAACAGCATGTGCTATTGCTTCCTTTGTGCTAGATGCGGCCACCCAGCTGTTCTGCTGCTGCTATTACACTGCAGAGCACAGATTTGTCAACTAAAAAAGACAATAAGATGTTTGGGCATTAAAATACAGTGTTGGAACTTTCCTAAATTCTGTTCCACTACTGCCATTGAGCCTGAAACCTCTTTGCGTTTGGTATTTGTTCCAGGTAAAGCTTTGACAGCCCTAAGGAATTCTACTCTGAAATCATAAAAATAATAATTTTAAAAAATCCATTGTAATTTGTAGGTGTTGTAATTGATAGGTGTTTACACTGCAGCATAACCACCAAAATTCTCATGGAGCAGAAGACTGTTTAGAGCTGGAGAGAGGTGTGTGTGTGTGTGTGTGTGTGTGTGATATGTTGCATTACTTGTAAGAAAGTAAAATAAGAAGTGCTGTTTTAACTTAAGAATTGTACTTTAGGGGATATGTGAGTAGAATAAGCATATTTCTGAAGTTTCTTTTGACTGGGTGATTACTTATCTTTGGGTGTTTTTGCAGTGGCGCTGGTATATAAATAAGGAAGTTACTGCCCCTAAAACTAGGCTGATGTATCAGCCAGCTAAACTAGAATATGAATGCTTGAAGGGACCAGTGCCCTTACTGTCAATATCATCATTAACTTGATCATTAATAATTATTTCTAAGACTCTTCAGGTGTCAAATATAATCATATATGGATAATAACTATACCCTTGTGAATACCAGGGAAATAGATGTGTGAAGATAAATTAATTCACTTGGGGAAAAGCACAAAAATGGAACTGTAAAAAATGAGTTTTGAACTTCTATTTTCAAACAGTAGAAATACATGGTTAGAAATTAATCAGAATTTTCAGATTTGATTTGCTGAGTGGAGCATTTATAAAGTTTATTTCCCCACAATCTAAACGTGTACTTTTTCCAGTTATTTATTTTCTGTATTCCTTTAGCATTTGAATAACCATCCTGGCTTTTCTCTTTTCTTTCCTTCATTGACTGTATTGTACCTACACTGTCAACTCAGGCTAGACCCTCTTTTGTGATTTTCTTCCTGCTACTTCTCTCTCTGGTTAAAGTAGTGCCATTTAGTCAGAATTCATAACAAACTGTGCTCAGCCACTTTGGGTCCTTCACTTTCTGGAAGGAGTAGGTGACTCAGGACTTCCAAGAAAAGGTTGATTGGGAATATTTTCATTTGTAACAAAAATTCACTTTACAGGGTCTATTTTTTCCCACGTAACCACTCTGGAGATAAGTGACCTCTGGCATTGTTTCGGTGGCTTAAAGTTTTCTGCACCAGATCTCTACAGTTCCCTTAGCTTCTTCTCATGGTTGCAGAATGTCCGGTTGCAGAATGGTTGCTCTAATGCTGGAATCAAAGTCACCCCAAGGCAGGGAGAAAGGGAGGGAGGAAGGAATTCTGGCAGTTGTGACTCTAGTTCCTTGTTTTAAACAATGTAAAATCCTTCTCAGGGTACTCCCCCTGGCTCCTCTCCCATCCTCCCCACTGCCAGCAGTCTTTCATGAGATATTTATTATCCTGAACTTTTATTATATGGCCATGCTGAGCTGCAAGAAGGGCTGAGAGAGTGAGCATTAAAGTGAAAGGCAGCAAGGGAGAAGGGGAATTGGGCATGAAGTCAGCCTCCAACTCTATCTGGTAACAGAAATAAGGGCAATAGAAACTGCTTTATGTATAGTAGGGAGGAAATGATGATGCCTTGACCTTCCTGGGACAAAAAAAAAATGGTATTATGTCCAGTGGAATTGGGGTGAGTTGGGGAAATAAGGTGAGAAAGAGAAACAAGATAAGAAGGTTTGAAAGCCTGGCCACATTTAGGAACTCATTTATCTGGTAATATGCTTAACCAAAATGTGTAGCTTTCTGAAAAGTAAAATCTAATTTTGGTGGATATTGTATTTTAGGACTCTTTGGGTCAAGATTAATGGATTTAGTGCTAAAATCTAAAGTTAGCATGGCTATGAATGGTTTCTTTTGTCAGCCTACGGAGTAAGATACCTCAGATGGTTGTAGTAGCACAGTTTTTCCTATTTTTCCCATGACTTCACGCACGGTCAGTAAACTACCGCCATGGGCCAAATCCAGTAGGGTGCCATCTAAATCCAGCCATGCCCATTCATTTGTGTTTCATGTATGGCTGCTCTTGTTGCTGCAGCTACTAGCTGGCTAGGTGTAACAAAGGCCCTGTGGCCTGCGTAGCCTAAAATATTTACTTCCTCTACAGAAAAGTTTTTTGGGCACCTGGGTAGCTCAATCGGTTGGGTGTCTGACTCTTGACTTCAGCTCAGGTCATGATCTTGCAGTTCCGGAGTTTGAGCTCAGAGTCAGTGCAGAACCTACTGAGGATTCTCTTTCTCTCTCTCTCTGCCTCTCCCCTGCTCACACTCTCTCTGTCTCTGTCTCTCTCTCAAAATAAATAAATAAACTTAAAAAAAAAGTTTGCTGACCTCTGATCTATCTTATAAGCTAAAAAGGAAAGGAAAAGACATGTAAATAAAGTCAAAGATTTAGACGTATGTCATAGTTGGATCTATTTTACATATGATATGAAAGGATTTGACTTGAGCTTTTATTATTATTGTGACTGAAGGTTGGAACAAATGTTAGACCATTATCAAAAATCAAAATGGTTTGGTTAATATAAGTGGTTTGAGATTTTTTGAGTCACCAAAAGATAAGGTGGTGTTTGTAGAATTTGTCAAAGAAGAGAGAAAGGAAGATTTAAAAACAATGGCACCCATGGTTTTTATTTTGAGTAGATTGGTCAGATACACATCTCCTTTACTAGCATAAACCTGTCAAAGGTTAATATAGACAATTTTACAGTACATAAAACCCTATAAAACTTAGAAACATAAAACAAGATTATAATTTAAAACAATATAATTTTAACTACAGTTACATTTACCTATCATAAATGAATGATTCAGGCTCTTTCATATACATGGAAATAAGATAATTGTTTCTGTGTTAAGAACTAAATGAATTCTGATTTTTGGAATTTTAAAGATGTGTTATACTAAATTTATGGGGTTTTGTTTTGGAAGTTCTATTAGCCTGATGTTTTGCACTATATGAATACAGACAGTCCCTTAGTGAAAAAGAGAAAAGATATGTTACATGTTTGCATTTGGACCAGGCTTTCGAAGGATTTGTTCTTAGAGTCAATAGAGAAATTTATTACTAAAACACAAAAATTTTTGTAATTTTCAGTCTTTGAACAAAGCTTATTTCCTGAGAACTTAACTATGTAAATGAATATGCCATTTACAAAGTCAAGCAGTCTTATGAACTTAGTAGATTTTTGCCTTGCTAAATGGGTAGAAAGGAGAGAGAAATCTGAAATTTAGAGAGAAATATGTCCAATAGGAGTTGTTCTGAAGCATGTTAGCAGGTTATAAGACACAGAGAATATAGCCGTTAGAAAAGTTGGTTAATATTTGAGCTAACTACTTTCAGAACATATGTCTCAGGTCAGGATGATATCAAAAGCTTACAGAAGGTAAGTCAGGTCTGATATTTTCTGTATTAACTGGTGTAGTGAGGGAAGTGATAGAAAAGAAAGCACAGTGGCTTTAGAGACAAAATCCTCCTTTAGTGCTGGTTAGCTTCCTGACCTTGGGAAAGCTACTGAACTTCGTTCTGAGTCTCTGTTTTCTTCCATAATATGTGGATAGCTAATAATGCCTTCTCATTTCTTTATCCTTCACTGCGGTTCATATGGCTTTCATCAGGTTGTGCAGTGATAAGGTTGTTTCGAGGCCTACTAGCAGAGTGCCAGTGATTTGCTCTCTCCTTTAACCTCCAGTGTCTGTGGAAGATGTAACCTCTTTGTACCACCTACACCTGTTGGGTCCTCACTGGAAGGAAACCAGGTTTGATTTTCCTCTCCCAGAAACCAGACAGAAATTGTTTTCTCTTCCTGTCCTGATTAGGACTTAGTAAATTGAAGAGGTCTTTAGAGGTCCTTATAGCTCAGATCCTTGAGCCCCTTGTATGGGTAATCATTTTAGAAACCTTGCTCTAGGAAGAAAGAATTTTTTTTTTTAACAGATAGTTTATTGTCAAGTTGGTTTCAATATAACACCCAGTGCTCATCCCCACAAGTGCCCTCCTCCATGCCCATCTCCCATCCTCCCTCCCCCCCACACCCATAGGTCCTCAGTTTGTTCTCAGCATTCAAGAGTCTCTCATGGTTTGCCTCTCTCCCTTTCCCCCACTATTTCCCCCCTTCTTCTCCCCCATGTTCCTCCGTTAAGTTCCTCCTAATCCTCCTATACGTGCAAACATATGGTATGTATCCTTCTCTGCCTGATTTTTTTTGCTCAGCATGACACCCTCAAGGTCCATCCCTATTGCTACACATGGCCAGATTTCATTCTTTCTCGTTGCCATGTAGTATTCCTTCGTATAGATAAACCACATCTTCTTGATCCATTCGTCCGTTGATGGACACTTAGGCTCAGAAAGAATTTTTTTTTTTTTTTTTGAGGATGAGAGAGAGAGAGCGCACCACAGAGTGCAAGTGGGGCAAGGGCAGAGAGAAAGGGAAACAGAGTTTCCCAAGCAGGCTCTAGGTTCTGAGCTGTTAGGACAGAGCCCGACACGGGGCTTGAATCCACGAACCATGAAATCATAACCTGAGCAGAAGTTGGATGCCCAACCAACTGAGCCAGCCAGGGACCCCGTAAGAAGAAAAAAATTGTAAAGAACTAACCTTAACTTTTTTGAAGAATGTTTTAGGATGAGCCAAAGGTCTTAGTATGTGTGTGCTGAAAAGATTGGAGAAAATTCATAAGAATTTTA